AACACCTCGGACTTACGTAGTAGCCATGTCTCATGCATAGAAAATGGAAGTTCGGAGAGGAGTGAGTTCACCTTATCTTCGATAGCTTTGGCTCGGGCTCGTGTCATTGGTCCAAGTGGTGTCGTTGGAGGTGTAGGTGCGTCCATGGGGATGGTCATGGGATGCTCCGCATCAATCAGAGTTCATTCATCTGCAACATGAATGAGTCCCTCGATTTTTTTAGACTCAAAAAGCTTTATTGATCGGAAATGATAAGTACCTGACATCAGGTACGAGCACGTGGCAAATCAAATGTTTTTGATGATAATTTTAGTGATGCAGGGGGATGACAAGTTAGTTGACACACATGGCAATTTTCTGTTGAAAAATAATTTGAAACACAAAGTTGCCATCTCTCGTGAATTAAACTTACCATCCTCACATCACTAAACTTGCCATCAGGGACGAAAGCAAGGTTTCGGGTTGGCTTAACCAAATATGGCGGCGAACCCCCAACGTTAATACATGCTTTGCGAGATTATGCGCCTCCACATTCGAGGTCCTAAACCCATATTTAAAAAACAGAAGAAAGAAATGACGATGACTACTCTATGATTTCATGCATCACAGCTCCATAGCTTACTGAACTTCGGCTTTTTATAACTTCAATTGTGACTTTGCAATCTGAGGTCACCACCACCAACCTATGCACATAAAGATCCGAGGCTAGGCCAAGAGCTTCTATAGTTGTCAATGCTTCAAGTGTTGATTGGTCATCGATACGTGGGAAGATCATAGAGTAGACCGGTAGCTTGGGCAACTGATTTTACGAGTACCTCCTTCCCTACCGTTGATAGCAACTTCTCCATCCATCCATGTATTTTCTCCCACACCCTGTCTCTCAAGTATCTAAAAGTGCCATCCTTTGATTGACCGACATTAGTTGGCTTTCCCAAGTGTGTGTCACTCAGAGTTTCATTCTACATATTAAGAGATTTTTTTACAATTTCCCTTAGTGATTAGGGACACCCTGTACTAAAACATACAAAGGATTTTTCATGATTCACCCTTTGACCTGAAGTTCCAGAATAAGAATTGAGCAGGTTTGATACCTCATTAACACCTTTAACATTTGATTTGAAAAGCAACATGCTGCCATCGGCAAATAAGAGATGGTTTACAGCCGGGGCTGTTGGTGCCACCTTGATCCCACTAAGCACCGATGACTGAGAACTGGATTCCAGGAGGCACGAGAGATTCTCTGCTGCAATCAAAAAAAGGTAAGGGGAAATAAGATCTCGCTGCCAGATTCCTCTTGTAGATTTGAATTATTCTAGTTTTTCTCCATTGAAAAGAACTGAACAAGACACTGAACCGACAATGCCCATAATAATATCAATCCATACCGGAGCAAAACCAAGCTTACCATGATGGGCCTGAAGATAAGACCATTCAAGCCCGACATACGCTTTTTCATCATGTCTAGATTGAGTGCACAAATAACTATTGACCTTGGATTTACTTCTTTTAGTGAAGTGAAGACATTCGTAGGCACTAATGATGTTATCTATAATGAGCCTTTCAGGCACAAATGCTGACTGTTCCTTAGAGATAATGTCGGGCGGGATAACTTTCAACATGTTTGCTATCACCTTTGATGCTATATTATAGAGCACATCACAAAAACTTATGGGCCTAAACTGAGAAATAAGTGTCTGGTTTATTACGTTGGGGATTAACACCAGCAAAATATCTTGATGCATTATGCAGGAATTCCCTATGCCTCGCTCATTGCATTGATAGTTCGACGCAATGCACAGGCGTAGCGCACAAAGCATGGGATCTAGGCGGGCCAACTTTAGAGCGTGACCACAGGTAGGTGCCAACCGGTTTTGGGAACCTTCTAGAAGGTTCCCTGAACCAATTTTTTTCTGTTTATTTTCTTCTATTGGTTTTTTCGGGTTTTCTTTAGTGTCTTTTCAGTTCTTTTTTCCTTTACTGTTTTTTCCTTTATTATTTTTCTTTTTCCTTTTTCTTTTTCTTAAACATTTCAATATTTCTTCCGAATTTTCAAAAATGTTCTAATCTTCAAATCTGTTCACATTATTTCAAATAGCATCGTATTTTCAAAATTTTGTTCATAATTTCAAAAAATCTTTCTATTTTTCACATTTTTGTCACAGTTCGAAAAGATGTTCAAAAATTCCAAATTGTATTCGCAATTTCCCAAAATGTTTGGAATTTTTATTCATGTTTTCAAAAAATATTTGGAGTTTTGGCATTTTGTTCACGTTCCAAAAGATGTTTGAAATTTTCAAATTGTGTTCACATTTTTAAAAATTGTTTGCGATGTTAACGAATATTCTAAATTAATGAAGACAATCATGTTTTTGAAAAATGTTTGGAGTTTCAAAATTTGTTCACATTTTGAAAAAAGTGTTCGCCATTTAAATATCGGTCGTGTTTTCAAAAGAGTTTAGAGTTTAAAATTTTGTTCATGTTTAAAAAAATTGTTCGGAATTTGTAATTTTTTTCATGTTTTCAAAAAAAATCAGAGTTTCAAAATTCTTATGTGTTTTCAAAAAATTATTCGCATTTTCAAAAGAAACTAGAATTTAATGAATTGTATGTTTTCTTAAAATGATAAAATCTTTGAGTAATGTTGAGTTATATCTCTTTTGTTCTTGATATTTAGCGCTACCCATATGTCACAACCTCTGAGTGACTGGCTAGAGATGTTCCGACCTCAATAAAACTTCCCAGGATCGACTCCTGGCTTGCACAAATTTCCCTTTAAGTGTTTTTGTGCTCCACTCTACACTAAGGGTTTGACCTCAATGGGACGGCCCAATTCGGGTGTGGTATGTGCGAAGAGCCGTCTATTTGCCGCAAGGAGCTCCCCATTCTGCACAATGAGTCCCTTAGGTGTAACAAACGCCATACATATACTGCTCCTACCAGGCCCACACAAGGACATCCCTTGGACCACCTTGTAGCCCACACGCAGTTACAAACCACACGGTGACAGCCCATGCAGGGGGTGTTACATGACCTATGTTTTCGCTCACGGGATCAAATTCGCGCCTCTCGCGGAATCAAAACCGTGCCTCTCCCGAAAGAAAAAAAACATGTTTTTTTTTCGTTTTATAGAGGCATGCTCGCGTGGAAGCAAGACCATGTCTCTCACGGAAGAAAAAAAGAAAGAGAAGACACATTTTTTTCGAGAGGCACGGGCCATGCCTCTCGCGGAAGCAAAAATAAACATGTTTTTCGTGGTGACTGAGAGTGCGCCAAAACCCACCCCCAAGTGATTGTTGGGAGGCTCTGAAAGAAGAGCTCGTCAACTAGTTGCTCTCGGATGCCCCTTGGTGCCAACTCTCTGCGTAGATACGTGTTAGGCCGCGCTTGGAATCATTGTAATTTAATAATATGGAGGTGTTTATTTTACACTTGAATCTTACCGGCGGCTTAGCAATTTTCAGCCGGAGACAAAACGATGAGCTGAGACGTGTATTTTTTTAGGTGTATTTAAAAAGAACACAATAATTCAAACAGGGCCTTACTAATTTATAAGCGTTTGTAAATCTTAAGTATCTGAAAACTTTCTTGGGTCGGGCTCCTTGTTGTAGTGGGAAATAATTTATTTAGACTAGTAACATGCATATGTTAGGGTATTTCTAACATGGCTAAAATGGATACTGGATCCATCCGTGGACAGGTCCGGACACTGATACGGGAACTGGCCATCCATAGCTAGCCGCAAACGTCTGGTCACATTTGATGCAAATTTAAACAAACTAGACAATTTTCATATAGACTTGGAGAATTTTTACATAAAACCGGATGATTTTCATCTAAACTGGAGCACATACATTACATTTTTTACATATTTCAATAAAACTATAGTGGACTAGGTTATTATAACCTAGTCTAAAAGATCGCCGGCAGTGGTGGCACCTATTTCCCACAACATGCCTTCCCATTTCCGGCAACGACCATGAGCCCCGGAAAATGAAGCTTCAATAGAAAGGGAAAGTAGCCCCTGCCTCCACAAAGCGGGCAAGCTCACCGACCGGCGATGAGCCCACCAAGTTTAGCTTCAGCACGAGGGGATGAATAGTGGCCTCCACCTTTGTGAAGCGGGCAAGCCCACCGGCTGTGAGGCGTGACACGACTTTGGAGGTGGCTTTCTTGAGATCCAAGCAGCGGCGGCCTCCAATGTTCTACTCTTCCTCACTATCGGTTGCGGCCTCCTATGTTATACTCTTCCTCGTTATCGGTTGTGACCTCCCTTGTTCTACTCTTCCTCAGTACCGGTGGCCTCCTTTTTTCTTGCTTTTTTCTTCCGGTTTTTTCTTTGTTGTTTCGTTTTTTTCTCATTTTTATTTCCTTTATTTTTTTCCTTTTTCAAATCCTCGAACTTTTTACGTCAAACTCTTGAACTTCTTCAAATCCGGGAGCAATTTTCAAATCTTGGAACATTTCTGGAAATTCGTGAACATTTTTTAAATCAATAATGCCTTTTCGAAACTTGTGAACATTTTTTCAATCAATTAAATTTTTTGAAATTTGGTAACATTTTTTTAAATCAAGAACATTTTCTGAATTCATTAAACAATTTTTCAATTTTTGAATACTTTTTTACTTCATAATTTTTGTAAAAGTTCATGTAAAGTTTTTGAAATTAAGAACTTTTTTGAAATTCCAAACATTTTTTTGAAATTGAGATTCATGAACAGTCCTCAAAGCGAAAAAAACAAAAAACAAAAGACACAAAAAAGGAAAATGAAAGGAGAAAACCATTAAAAAATAGGAAAGCCGGTTGGTGGCTATTCAGCAACCTACGCGTGAAATGGGGGCTCCCTGCAATCTGGTGCACTCGATAGAAAGCCACAACCGAATTTGAATATACGAATGTATGCAATAATACTGGGATTGGAAAAGCAATGTACAGAAGTTAAGTACATAATGAAGCTCTGACAAACATTGGGCAATCCTTTCAGAAAAAGAATTGGGCAACATCAAAGCGTAGACCCATTAAAGATGGCAAATCCATTTCGACTTTTGAGAGCATATGCTCCTGCACATCAAATATGTTTTTTGTAAATGTCAAACAAATCTGACAGAGAAGAGATGGCGCCGATCGCGCTAGCTGGTCTGATCAGCGAAGAGATCAAGATGTTCTACGAGGCTACCAGGGAGGCGGCCGCTGGGGACACATAGTTGAGAGGGGTTTTTCTCCTTTTTTGTCAGTGTTTTGATGTACTTGTCTTCAGAGTGCCGGCTGGGTTCCCCCTGTCCCCGGCTGACTGTCTTGTAATACTTCTTTTCTTCTTCAATGCAAAAGCAGAGCTCTTGCTGTTCACGTCAAAAAAAAATCTGAAAAAAATTATATGGGTTCATTGTCATACTCAAATGCCAGGGAAAGCTTAAGCATTTTGACCAGTGCCAAAAGAAAACAAGTCAAACCCCAAATGTGACCTTCAAACGTTACACTTAATTTAATTTTTTTAACTGACAAAGTACTGCTATACCGTTTCTCATGAAAATTGTCAAGCACGCTTGTTACACTAACAAGAGCATCTACACAAAAATTCAGAATTTTTAAAATGTATTGACTATTTATTTTGATTTTACTGTTTATTCGAGAGCATATGCACCCCAGAGGCAAAACGGCCTTCCCCACAATATACTTTTGGATAAAAAGAGATGTCATATGTTCAACCCAGATTAGCAAATAAATTTCAGGACAAAAGATGCCTACAATGCTCTGCTGTGAAATTTGCTAATACGGATGGACTGCAGTGTACTTTTGTCCACACTGAAATATGAGACAATACTCTTTTCTTTTTAGGCAACACAGTATTCTTCTTGCAGTAGCGCAGCTTAAGGTAGCACACAAATTTCAGTACAAAAAGATGGAACACATGATGCTCTGCTGTCTAAATATACAGATGGACTGCAGGGTATCTCCACACAGAAAGAGTAGTCACACAATACTCTGATTTTTCTCCTATCTGGTAATTGGTCTGTACATGTGAATCTAGTAGTAAATCCATGAACACACAGCCCAACAAATTGAGAGCACAAATAACCAAATGATGGCCATAAGCTATGAGCCAGAATAAAAATCAGTCAGAGTCATACAAACTACGAAAAATGGCACCGGTCAGTTAAGAAACATCAGAAATAACCCAAGACTTCCTCTGCTCTGAGCAAGCGCGAAACCTACATGGAAGGCTCTGGCATATACTTTTTGCCGCATGCGCTGTCACCTTGTGGAACGCCAGGAATGCACAGATTTTCGACAAGGACTTCTGGGGTGCCAGACGTGTCTACAAGGAGATTGCCGATCTCATCAAGCTCTGGACTGTGCGGGCTCGGGGAGAACCAACCAGGGAAGTACTAGTGAATTGGGCTAATCTTATTGGTTCTGCATAGTTTACACACCTCCATACAACCCCCCCCCATCTCCTTCCCATGTAATTCTGAAATGTCTTTCTGATGGCCTGGTGATGGCCAGCTGTGCGGCGCTTACATCACCTTCATGTAAATGACTCCGGTCATCCAGGCGCTTTTGCCTGTTTTGAATGCATAACATAGAAAATGATCTATCTTTTCATTTCAAAAAAAGTTAAGAAATTTAGTGAGATTTCTTCAGAAATTGTTTTAATTGTAAAGTATATCACAAAACTGACACAACATAAATACGACAATATACAATTCATCGATACCAAGCATAATAGAAGCACAAACTGAAATCCGTTCTCCTAGTATTACAATCTGTTTATTCCACAAGCATAACAGACACGGATAATAGCAGGTCCAATGCAAGCCAATGCACTGAACCAGCTGCTTCTGTGTTCAGATTAACACACTCGCAAACCACACCAGGCAGCCCCATCGATGCACGCAGGCACACAGGGCTGCTGCTTAGTCAATCACTCCAAGTTCATACTCATGCAGCCAAGAGGCAGCAAGCAGGCATCCTCAATCGCAAGCCATACTTCCGCGCGCACACACGTCAGTGCAAGCAGCCAAGAACCATGCTGCTTCTTATTTGAAAGCCACAAAGGTGAGCGCCACCACAAGCTCACACCTGACACAACAACACACAGTAGCAGTAGGAGCCGATCGACCAATGACCGACACCACCAGCAAATCTCTTTCAAGCAACCCGGGAAGCACACAATAAACCAAACATGCAGCAGACAGCAGGACTTGCAGGAGCGAGCGTCCATCTGGTCTCCCATTAAGGATGGAAGAACCACATCAGTGCAGCACAGCGCAAGGATCACCTACACAATGTAAGTGGCAGAGTGCAGAAAAAAAAGGGTGAGTAGCAAAACTGACATTGAGTATGATATTGGCAGTTTACAAAAATGGATTTGTTACATGTCAGAGAGAGTACCTGAGCACGGAGACCCTGGGTAGTTTCTTCTTGTAGTAGCGTGAGTGCACCGGCGCCTCAAAGTGGCCAGCGGCCACCTCCACGTCCCACTCCAGAGAGTCCCAGACGTCTTTCTCGATCTCGACGGTCGGCTTCTTCATGTCTCCGCTGCGGGCACCCACCACCGGCAGCCGGCGCAGGCCCCAGCATCCTCTGATCTTGATGGTATTGAGCTTTGGTGCCACCATCTCCACCTCGCAGATCTGCTGCAGCACTGGCAGGTCGTGCAGGTGGATGGTTGTCAGCCTTGGGAATGCTACAACTTGGATGATATCTGGGTACCACCATTTCTCGTCTAGCACGAATATGTGCCTGAGGTCTCCGCAGTGGATGATGTGGAGGGTCTCCAAACTTGGGAAGGAGCGGAACCACACAGGGAGCACGAACTGGAGCCTGGGGCAAGAGCGCAACCGTAGATGCTGCAGCTTTCCGAACGAACCATCATTGAACCCGTGGTAACGGTAACCACCTTTACTGCATATCCAGCTGGCCATCAGGAGATCTGACGCCCAAAAGGTCTCCAGCTGCCAAAATTCACGTGATCCCCTCTGGAAGACTTCACCCAACTTGGGGCACCTCTCCATGCGGCATTGCCTGAGAACCTGCGGGCTGTATCCCGTCGGCAAACTAGCACTAGTTGAGACATCGTGGACATGCAGGGAATCAGCAAACCTTGTCATCACATATCCCAGTCCACTGTCCAAGACGTGGCTCCCTTTAGTAATCTCGATATGCCGATCCAGGTTGTTAGCCGGAGGCTTAGGAAAGGCTGCAGCAGGGGCATCACCAACCATGCTTTGGACATCACTGTACCGGTCTGCTTGAACAAGCTGCAGCAGGCTAACTTGATCTCCATACATGTCAATCTTCTTCTCCTTTTCTTTCACTTTGGATTGACTCAGCTCACTATACACAGCAGAGGTGACATGGATATTAAGATAAACATTCTCAGCAGCTGCATAATGATTACATAATAGTTGCCACACTGACCGAGCAAGCCTTGCATCCACAACAATGGCGTGCACCTCCAACTGAAAGGAATTGTTCCGGTCAATGCATGGCCGAGAACGGCCAGTTCCAGCTCGCGTATCAATGCATAACAATTCCAACTTGAAGCTATCAGTAAGGCTGCTCCAAATTATTGCCCGAAGGTGCTCACATCCTAGCAGAAATAATCGCTTCAACGTTGGTACTTCTAACACCATAGTATTGAAATTAAGTGTCTTGATTGCAGCTCCGGAGAGGTCAAGCTCAACGAGATTGTCCAATCCACGAACAAACAAATTCTCCAATTGTGAGCAACCTTCGAGGGAAATCTTAGAGATACTGGCACCCTCCTTTGTTGTTGGGGTAGATGGACGTTCTTGTTTCGAAGGTAGCTCAACAGTTGGTGCCCGGCAGGAAACAGACCCATATCCATCAAAGCTGAAGGACTTCAGCAAGCGAGGTAGCCCATCAGGGACAACAACATCTTTAAGCTCATTGCAACCATCCAGAATAAGCACTTCGAGCCTACTTGCCTTAGATAGGCTGTTTGGTACAATGTTCATCTCACTGTTGCCAGACAGGTCAAGTATTTCTAGCTTTGCTTTGTCCATGAAGGAGTTGCTTGGATCTGTTGAAATATCGGGTCCACGTGTAGGCTTGATTATCCTGAGCCTTTGAAGATTCGGTAGCCGGCCTTGTAAGCAACTTATGTACTGCCAACACCAGACTCCCTCCATGCTAAGCTCCACGAGGTTATCCATTAGATCCAACTTTTCCTGCGATAAGATTTCATTCCACACAGTGTAGCGTAGGTCCAACACCCACAAGCTATGCAGAGAAACCCACCCGGCATAATCCTTTCCTTCACCTGTTTTGTCATCTGTACAATTGTCCAGCCCAAGGAATCGTAGGCCATGGCATTTCAAGAAAGGAGGTGATGCAAAATTGAAGGCACAACAACAGAGGGATAGCACACCAAGGTTGTTGGAATGTTCAAACAAACCATCTGGTAATGCTACTGGCTTATCGGACATTACAAATTCCAAGAAGAATGACGATGTCTCTTCAGGTAAAGATTTCATAGCATGTATTTCCCTATCACTTGACCTGGTTGAAATCCAACGGTATTGTCCTTCTTCATACACACCATCTTCTTTAACAATCAGGAAAGGAAGCTTGAAATCTTTCTTGAACTTTGCGAGCACATTATCATCACACTCCCAGCTTATCTCTCGGTGCAACACGTCATGTATCTCCAATGTTATGTCTTTCTGCAGTATCCCATCACATATCCAACAATTGGAAGCAACACCAACCCAATCAGAATTGGTCTTGTTGTGAAAACTACGTTGCAGGAATAGTGTGTAAACATAACAGTCAGCAACCTTCATTGGATTGACTCCCCACAAGCATTGATAGCGAGCAGCTATGAGGGCAGCCTCTTTACACAATAGTGCATACAACTGTCCACTTGTTAAATATTTTTCTCTATCATAAGCCAAAAGATGGGTGTACCTCAGTTTTTGTATTAGTTTATGTTGTTCGTATTCTGTTATGGTCAATATCCTCCTTTTGTATGTCCATATCATTATGTTCTTTGTGAACTTGCCAAATGAAGGAATACCAAGGGGATATAGATCGATCTCATCATCAACCCCGGAATGGAAAATAAGAATAAATCTACTGTCCTTCATAATGTGATAGATCTCTTCTGACACAATTGTTATTTCATCCCTTGAAATTTTATCAACTCCATTAAAATCATCATCTCCATCCTGCTTATCCAGTACATCCATTACTGAGCTGCCAAGGTGTAGCTCCTCTGCAATTGCCCTCTGCAACGCCCTCCTACCTTTCCACTCAGAGCAATCTATATGAATTATTTTATCAAAGATAGTTCCGGAGTGGTTCTCTTAGAAGGGATAACTTCTGCTATGGATCTAAGAACGGTAGATGCCCCAAGTCCACTCCAACCATGAAAATAGATGACCCTTTCTTCTCCCTTGTTACGAAGAATTCGGAATATCGCTTCTCTGGCGCCATCCACATCTATGGCATTGGTAAACTAAATTAACACAAGAAAAACTGTAATTATACCAAGTTTGCTAGTTGCATAATCCAATTCATGTAAATGGATAATCTGAGTATACACGAATTCGGTGAACTAAAAAGTTGGTGTGTGAGCACCCATTTGGAGTTTGGATCACAAATCCACAACTGATATATCTTGTGGGGCCAGCATATGGGCGTTGGTACAAGGAGGGGGTCAAATCATCTGACAACTAAGCCTATCTTTAGTTTACTTGAATGTCAGTTTAGCTACTTATTTTGGTAGATAAAGATTATTTGTGTTGGTTGGAAAGTTAAGATCAGGTCTGCATCAGCCAACCCTATATATAATGGTATGCTCAGATAGTACGTGATATCATAGAATCAATAAAGAAGAAGAAATTAGGCTTATCCCATAACCAAACCTTTCTCGTGCCCATGACACACTAGTACTGAACTTAAGACATATCTCCGCATACCATCTATGGCCAAGCAGTGTCGAGCCCAAGATGGGGCTAGCACATCGACAGTGAGCAATCTTTCAGGACCTTACCTCAAGCAAGATAGCATTGATGACAATCATGTCGCCCCAAGTTCCATCCAACCTTTGACGGGTCAAAAGATGCATGGAAAGTCGGAAAGGTAGGACGAGCTCCTACCATTTGGCAGGTCTGCAGTTCTATGGTACAGGAGGTACAACATTTCACAACGGCTCCTTCATGGACGGTGTTTGCGAAACACATCTGACCCTGTTTCGGACCCAAAGTCTGTAATGCTTAGCTCGACGCGATCAAAAACTCACAATACACCAGTATAGTGAACATCCCAATCTCGTATGCTTGTGTGAAGGACTTAACGGAGCGGCACTAGGCGGAGTCGTTCGTGGTTGACCTTCACAAGCTACTCCAGACGGACGTACCTATGCTGAAATATCCGGTCACCTTGCAGTGGAGTGGAGGATGCCATGGACCATGCCATGTACGTGCTGACGAGGAATGGGAGAGCCGAGAGGAGGACAATGTCACCCCTGCATTAGAGCAACACTGACGCGCCGATGCATTTCGTGTGCGCCTGTCCGTTTAGGTTGAAACGGAAGAAAAACGCCTTCCCAATGTGCTGATGCAAACCTAAAATTGGTCCCCTCATTGTCTGTCTGGACGCATTCTCAGCCCATATGTGCGCCTGATTTGCTTTCACACAGACACGAGACGAACGCGTCGTGCGGCCAGTGGAAGCGACCCGAGTCCACACTTATTTTAATGGCAAGCGTGCGGGGCCCGGTCTCATCCACTTGCCACTCCCGTCCACATCTAGCCACACTCGCACCTCGCCGGCGTTAGAAAACCATAGCCCTAGCCATGGTTGTGGCTTCTTCGGCAAGGGGAAGGCCAAGGGCAAGCAGGAGGAGAGCAGCTTGTTGCACGCCGACGAGGTGGACGGTACGGTGGTGCCAGCGGCGGGGAGGGCTCACCGGCCACGGGACCGGCTGTACATCCCAGTGCAGCGCGCACGGTACCACTTGGAGTACCGCATCCCGCTGCCATGACCCAATGTAAACCTCCCCCATGGATGGCACCTCGACCCCCACCACACCACGGTGCTGGCAGTGCCACAGTCACTGCGCGCATGTGGAGGAGGTACGCACGCACCGCACTCTCCTGATGCCTGAGCAACGACATGACCCGGTGTACGCGCTA